TTGGGTCATGAGATCTTCTACATCACTTGTGTACCCTGCATACAGTGGAACCTGGACCCATTCCTGTGCCGACGTCTTATCAACATGTGGACTGTAAGTCGCCAGTAGACAGAGAATCTCTGTGTGTGTGAACATTTCAGTCACCTCGGTGTGCACAAACACAAGTCTTCAGTCTGATGTCCGTCTGTTCCACAATGCCGCCTCTCTTCTCTGTGTTGTTCTGTCTTCCTCTCTTCACCTTTCAACCTCCTTTCATTCTTCTCTCCATTCAGTGACCTGTCTCTGACACCACCATGTTCATATATCCCCAGGCCTGGGGGACACTGGGGCCAGCCTGACCGGGGCCTCTGACATGTAGGGAGGGCACACATGAGGACACAGTGGGGGGGAAAAAACCTGCTAGAATCTTTCCTTTAGACATTTAGTCTGGCACAATCCAGAACATGGTGACGAGAGAGACTGAAAACATGCCAAATGTGAACCCAGAAGGAGTGTATTTGACACTTGTTGAGCCACACAGACAACCATACATCCTCACTCCTGCAGACTATATGATGTGTTTTTGTGCCCTTTGTGTCCCTGCTGTGGGCACTTGGTGGGTGCCCTGTGTCTGAACCCCCTTGTTTGTCCCCTCAGGGAAATAGATACCATTCTTTTGACATCCTGGCTGCACCGGGCCCTTGTGTGAACTCCTTTCAAACACCAACACACACACATGCTCACACTACTGTTGAACAGACTCATTGCCCTTGCTCTAGTTAGGCATTACCAGCTTTACTCTGTGTTTTCCTCCCCCTCTTTTTTATTGGCCTCATCAGTGCTTTGAGCTTTCTCTCTCTGGACCAGCCGTTTGGTCTGCCAACCCTCAGGGTGTATCACCCCATGGTTCACACATTGAACAGCTCCCTGCCATTGTGCCGGTTAAGTTATTTTAGGTTCATGGAGGGCTGTGTATGCCATCTTGCCTCTTCTGTCTCTTTCACACACACACAGAAAAAGCTGGCAACCCTTTACACCAACAACCGAAGTGCATCCATACAAATTAAGACTTGTGCTAACATATTACAGGACCTTGAATGACACACACATTATACCCACATGTACCCTTCTGTCCTTCCCTGCCTTCTGTTGGCTTTACCTTCAGGGTGATTGGTTGATTTTGGAAAACAACAAATGTCGTTAACCACATGGTCATGAATTACATAGCAGTATTACTGTAGTGTTGTATTATACAAGTCATACACCTACTGTCCTGTCAAGGTGTACTTTTACATAATGACACAAAGGGCATATACTCCTAAGATATAAACTATGTTTAGAAAGAAGCATGTAGACTTTTTACAACTTATGAGAATATTGGTGTGTTAACATTACAAAGAAAATATGGTCAATGCAGTTTTTACTAACATACTGACTACAAGTTTCTGCTATAAGTTCATAAGTGTTTGAAAAGGACCAGAGCAAAAATGATCTAATTATTAACAAATCGAGAGCTCCTCGTTGTTAATAGAAGAATGAGGGCTGAACAGAAACGGTACAAAACTCTATAAACATGTGTGTTTATCACATAAACAAGCATGTTGCATGCCTCATAGCAAACTGTACAACACATCAAAACATTTACAGCAGACAACTTTAAGTCAATGAGAACGTCAGCCATGACTAAGCTCAACTTTAGAACTGGACCCAGAGGAGCAACAGATTTTGTTGCCTTATTAAGGCTAGCTCAGTAATTTGCAGGAACCATGCTGTGGGGATTTGGCATATTGGCTCCAAAGTCATATCTGTGGAAAATACTTCTCTGTTTAATAGTAGTAGGCAGCGGCATGACTCCCAAAATACCCATTGTATAAATTTAGCTGTTGCTGTTTAGTTCTACACTTGGGAACCTTACAATGGCTTTACTGTTAGGAGCTTCATTATGTAAAGTGTTATTTTTAGACATGTTAGTTTTAAGTGCATAGATTTTTTTATTTTTTTATTTTTATACCACTGAGGATTTAACCTAGAAGTCTAATTTATTGCCACTAGTGTTGAAAAATAGCTTTCCAATGTGTTAGCATAACTTTATTTCGCAGTGTCTTACTGGTCACTGCGCTGTTATGCATCACAGAAACATGAACTAGTAACAAAATCAGCTCATGTCATTGTAGAACAAAACAAACATCTCTTCTTTGTTTCATTCAGATGCACATGTTGACACATCAAAGTCCAAGCTGCTCTGGCCTCAATCAATGCACTTATTCATGAGAAGGCACACACTCCAGTGCTAGTGTGTGTCTGTCTCTTGACCTGTCTTTAACTCTTCCCTTAATGTGACCAGACTGACCCTGGGTCAGTCCTTTGATGTGACTCGTACTAAGAAACCAATGTGACACTAGCATGACGACTTTACTGGAGGCCGTTGAAAATGATGTTTGTGTTGATGGCAGCTGCACGGGGTGGAGGGGATGTCATGTGCAAGCACTTGGACTGGCAGATTCATGTGTGAATGCAGAGCAGAGGACACAGTGGATGATGTGTACACAGCATGGCTTGTTGTATGAATACACAGTACTGGTGAATGAATGCAGTCACATGTGCCAAATGTGTTTATCATTGTCTGTCTTCTGTTTATTGTCCATTTTATTTGACCAGTTTCTCTGTCTGACCATGTATGTGTAGGTACAGTGTGGGTAGATGCAAATATTGGAATGATACATTTACATTGAGGCATGACTGGAGGATAAGGAGAGATGGAAAAGTACAATTTAGCTTTAACAGCATTATTATTACTGTCTTATTTCCCTTGTGTGCGCTCATACTGTACAGGTTACTTTCTATCTCTTAAATTACAGTGGCTAAGAGTGTGTGGGCAGTTTGTCACAAATGCTAATGTCACCAGGCTAACATGCTCACTATGAATACTGATGTGTTGATTTTTTTGGACATGTTTGCCATCTTAATTTAGCATGCTAACTTATGCAAATAAGCTCTGCACTAACACTAAAGTATAGTAAAGCTGTTGACAATCATTTCGTCATCCACCAAAATACTAGACAATGTTGCCTTGGGGTATAAATATTTCTATGTGGGTTTAGGGGGAGTAAATTGATGGTAGTACTTCCTGAAGGATAGGTTATCTATCCTCTTAGTACTAGCTAAAGATAAGACTCAATTAGCTTAGCATAAACACTAAAAACAAAGTTCCAAAAATATGCCTAACAGTACCAATTAAGCCCACTAATTAACATGTATCTTGTTTGTTAAATTCAGATACAAACCAAAATGTAAAAATTCCAATTTTATTATTTCTTGGGCAGGAAAAATTTCCCTGTGTGGAAGCTAATAGTGGTCACACTGCTTTAAAAAAGAAAACATTCCAATTAGTCTCAACTGTACTTTGTATTTAGCACTGATGGGCAAATGTTAGCATGAAGCCCAATTAAGTGAAGGCACTTTACCAGTTTCAGTACCAGTCATCATGACAATGCCCTTGTGCAAACAGCCAGATCCATAAAGAACTGGCTTTCCCAGTTTGGTGTGTAGGAACTTGACTGGCCGGTGCAAACCCCTGACCTAACCTTCAGCAAACATGTTTAGGATGAACTGGAACGCCAACTGTGTTAGGATTTATCACCCAGCATCACTGCTGGACCTAATGCTCTTGTGGCTGAATCAAGTCCCTGCAGTTAGTTGCAATTTCTGCCTCTACCCTTGAGGGAAATGTTTTAGAAGTTATGGCAGCCTATTAATTCCTTTGTTTTTGGAATGATGGAGTGTAATGTCCTGGTGTCCACATTTTTCAGACCATTGTCTACATTTTATTGCCTATCTCTGCCTCTGTCACTTTCTTTCCTCTCTTATCTCCTTGCCTCCTTGTCTCTACAAGTTGCTGCACTAATAGCAGGTCAGTAGATGTACTTTTATATTGTTTGCCATGGTAACGAGCATTTCCTGATTACAGTGTCAGTGGAGATGTAATAATAGCCTCTCTATTCTCTCCCTTAAACACACACATTAGTGTCCTGCTCCCTGTCTGTGTGCTGCCTCCCTGCTTCTCGCGAAGACAGCCATTCATTAAATATACAATGAAGAGCTTTAAATAAACCTGGCGCTGGAGCAGGCTGTCCCTCCAAGGGCCACTGGGCATCTCATGAAAGAGAATAGGCAGCACATTCAGGACACATACACAATAATATCTACAATGTATATATAACACATACATCTTAGACTGACTATCTCAGCCCTTTTTCCATTGTTGGAACTTACCAATCTGTAACGGAACATGTAGGTCTTGTCACTGGTCCTGCTTTTGTTTACACTGTGCTCAGCCCACTTTGGAGCCGAGTTCCTGGAGCTACATTTCGGTACTCCTCAGGATGTAGTACAATGAAGTTCCAGGTGGGTGCATGTAGGGCTATCATCACGTCTTAAGTAGCATAACAAGCACATTGTGTGAACATGCACTCACTGGTTTAGAGGTAAAACTGTGTGTAAATCCTAATTCCCTTATTTGGATGCCTCAGAGCTCATATTCCTACTCTAAGGAGTGAGGAGGATGCCTGGATCTGCTACAAAGACAAATTTAAATTTTGTCAGTTAAAAGTAATCATTCCCAGAAATAACAGATAGCATTAAAAAAAAACTGCAAAAATAAGAATGCAACTGAAAACACCAGATAATGTAGGACCTGCTTCTGAGAGACATGTATCTTCTCTCTTAGTTGGTGATGTACATTGGCCAGGTGATGAAGGATGTGCTGAAGCTGCCTCGTCCTTCCTCACCCCCTGTGGTTAAGCTGGAGACACGTGTTGACGCAGAATATGGGCTACCCTCCACCCACGCCATGGCCGCCACCGCTATCTCCTTCACCTTTTTACTAAGTGCCCCCTCGAGGATACAGGTGAGATAGTTGTGATTAAACACAGTGTGATAAAGTGCTGCATGAATATAGCCAAAATTTCACCATCTCCAATACTATGATTTATGACGATGCCTGTTAAACAACATTCCCATCAGCCTCAACTGTGCTTTGGGTTTGGTGCTAATTAACAAATATTAGCATGTTAACATGTTAAAGATGGTGAACATTATATCTGCTAAACATCAGCATGTTAGGATTGTCATTGTGAGTTTGTTTGGTTACAGATATTAGCATTTAGGTCAAAGGTGTGCACTGCCTAAATACTGTAAACCTCACAGAGACACTGAAATGGCCCAAGACAGAGTTTTGTTTGTCATACATATTCCTACCAAAGGTCAAAAATGAACATCCACACTCACTTTGGTACATGATTTGTTAATTTTTCTCTTTCTTTTTAAAATCTAAATGTGAATATTTAGGATAAAGAAAAAAATTATTCATATTTGTCATGATATTACTCAACAAAAACATCAGGAGATGCAAAGAAACCTGACAACTTCAACTAGCAGCCAAATGATTTGATATTTAGAGGCGGAGATAATTACTATAGAACAATTTCTTGATTGGTAGCTGTAATATTTATAAAACTGTAAATCGCTGCACACTGCCACTGGCATAGCTGCCTAAAAATTATGTAGTTCCACCTCATTAGAATAAGGAAGTGCAGGCCAAGTAGGTGTTGAACTGTAATTCTGACGCTATATATCTCATTAGAAGTGTTACTGAACTTTCAGGATTCCTGTAAGATTAGCAAAGCACCTGTAAATGTACTCGAGCCAAGTGAGGCGTTTTTTTTTTTTTTAAGTCTGTTTGAGGTACTGGGGGCCTGTGGATGGCAGGTTGCTCACTGGTAGCTGAGTGGGATGAAGGGAGTGGTCCCACTGTCTATCAGCGAGTCCTGACTGAGCTGGTGGACAAAGGGCAGGGATGGGCGGGTGCAGCAGTCACCATCAGTCACCATCAACCACAGCCGTCGAGCTGCTGTTTAGTCTTCTGATGGACTCAACTGAGTCAATGACTGTCAGTCCACCTCCCTCCCCCTCTTTATCTCTCCCACTCTACTGCCAAGTCAATAAAACACTCAGTGGCTCAATCATACGCTGTCTTTATCAAGTGCTGTGTTTTAATGAAGAACTGAGGGAATGCCAAATCCAGCCGTTAGTAGTTTACGGTCCCTGTCAGACTGATTTGTAGTCAGATTGTATCAGCTGGCTCTTTTTTGCATTGTTGTTTTCAAGGTCATAGAAATCACCTCATCTATGTACAGTAGAGCACTTAACTGTGGCCTGAAATTCCTTAAGGATTCCCCTGAAAGAAAAGGGCACACATAGCTTTAGACGACTAGAAGGCTGTTGCAGAGGCTCCTGAATAGCCACAAGGCCTCGGGGCAGCTCGGCCTGTTCCTGGAGCAGGTCGGAGGTCACGACAGTCAATCACCAAGTGACCCCCTCCTGTCCCTGGCATCCTTTGTGGCCATTCACAAAAAAAAAAAAAAAACTTTTCTAAAGAGCGGGGGGGGGGGGACCAAAACCTGCTGCTGTAGGTAAAGGAGGGAGGGGAGAGAGGATGGAAACAGTAGAGGGATAAAGGAGCAAGTGACTTGTTGACGGGCAGTACGTCAACCGGGCAGAATGCAGAAGTGGTAGAAAGAGGAGCTGCACGTCAGCGTTAAGAGGACTGACGAATGGACGGTTTGATCACTAAGAGGAAAATGCCTTTTTTTTTTTATTAAAAAAAAGGTGGAATGTGCATGTGACACACAGCATTCTACTTCAACGGATTTCATCTTTTATCAACCTAATCAGGGTGTGGTATGTATATGAGGTGTCTACAGATCGGTCACTGCGATGGTTAGTGATGTGTTTTTACGTCTCAGTTCCAGTTCGGGGTGGGTCTGCTGATCGCCGTGACATTCTCATCCTTGGTGTGTCTGAGCCGTCTCTACACTGGCATGCACTCAGTCTTGGTGAGCTAGTACCTCCACACACACACAAAACATTTAAGCAAAACAAATTCATTATTCATATCCATTTCTCGTGAAATTGTTCGACTCATGCTTCGATCCAAGACTGTTAATTCAGCTGGCACTTTACAGTATGTTCCCTTCTTTTATTTTGAAAATCTTGATGCAATCATATTAAGTGACAGTTACAACTTATTAATCAGTTATAGACGGGTGACCCTGAACAAATGAGGGTCACAGTTGTAGAATCAGTCACAGTGCAGTAAAGCTGTTCTAGACTACACCTTAAGACACTTTATATTTGTTTTTACTCTGTCACCCATCTGTATGTTTAAGTATACATTTCTCCAGCTAGTCTCACCACTACAACTCTGCTTATTGAGCAATTTTCTTCTGTAAATATTCAAAAATATCCATTTTGGGAAATATGCTTTTTTTGCTATCATGCTTACAGTGAAACGAGAAGATTGATATTGTCACATCTACCATTTTATTTTACCTGACAGAGCCAGATTAGCTGTTTTTCCTGATCCCAGTGTATCTTCCAACATAATTTTGTTGCTGGTGAAATATTATTGTGCTTTCAGGATGTGATCTGTGGCGCTTCGATCTCAGCCATCCTCATATTACTCACCTACCCCTACTGGGACACCTTTGACCGTTTCCAGCTCACCAGCTCCATCTCCCCCGTTGTGGGATTGGTATTGCCCCTCTTCCTCAGCTACATGTATCCAGAGCTGGAACATTACAGCACTACACGGGGGGACACCACCACTATCCTTGGAGCAGGGGCTGGGTCTTCTGTGGGATACTGGGTGAATGAGCAGCTGGGACAGACGTTTGAGCCCCAAGGGGCATTACCTGTACCCCTACCCCCGCTGACTTTACATGCAACGTTACTAAGTGCTGCCCGCTTCCTTGTGGGAGTTATAGCGTTAGTGGGAACTCGGCAGGTAATGAAAACAGTGAGTCTGCAGGTGCTGTATTCCTGGTACAACGTGGCAAAAAATGATTCCAGTGCGAGGAAGAGGAGAGAGATTGAAGTGCCATCGAAGTTTGCCACATACACAGCTGTTGGACTTGTCAATTCTATACTGGTCAATAGAGTTTTTATTTTACTGGGGCTGCATTGACTTAGTGTCAACATAAGACTGAGTCATCTGAAATTGCAAAAATGCACCTTGTATCTGTGTGTCAGGTGATTGATTTTTTTTAAACATTAACTTTCCATAAAAGTTCTCACTGGGAATGAGTTGTGTGTGACTGACGGTAACGACTCAAAGCAAATAGAATGTTGCTTAGGTATCAAGTTTCAACTGTTTATAGTCAGCTTGGTGTACTCTCATAGATGTACTGTGTATTTCAGAAGCTACACTTGTCATAATCTGCTGTTTCAAGTTCCCTGTCACTTTTTCAAATGGGAGAACAAAGCAGCATGAGCTCAAAGCGGTCAGAAAAGATCAAAACTAGTCCAAGCGAAATTTGACAACTCTTTCAGTGTCACCTTTGTTCTCTAAATTTTAGAGTCTAAATAAATCATATCACCTGGCAGGATAAATCGGGTTGAAATTAGTCATAGTGGTCAGGTTATTAGAGGTACACAGGAATAGAAAAGGCAACCTCCCTTGGCTATGGTACAGTCTGGAGGAATGCCAGAGCACAAGTCAAACCTTGTAAATCAAGTTTGACATCTGCATGCCTCAGTTTCATATGGGAAACTGCAAAAATCTCCCTTTAAACTGACAGTAAAGCATCAACTGATACAGATATTCACAACTCTTGCATACTTGTTACCTGATAAGAATGTGATAAACACTAGAAATGTCTAAGCAAAGTTAGAATGGCTTTATTTGAATAAACAGTCATTTTAAATGAAGAACCGGAGCTTTGGTTATTGTGTTACACATTATAATGTGGCATAGCTTCATATTACATCACCTATGTCAAGCCAAGAGCAGAAAACCCCAGCCGGTACCTTTCAGTGAATTTGTTCAGTGTCTGTATGACTCAGATCTTATTGAAGGCAGCCACATCCACAGACTGAACATATTCCTTGAAGGCGGTGATGGCTTCCTCCAGAAGATCTGTACCTACTTTATCATCCTCTACCACACATCCTATCTGGAGCTTCCTGATGCCGTAGCCCACTGGGACCAGCTTGGACTTCCCCCACAGCAGCCCGTCCATGCTGACACTGCGGACGCACTCCTCCATCTTGGCCATGTCCGTCTCGTCATCCCAAGGCTTGACATCAAGCAGAATGGAGGACTTGGCAACGAGAGTTGGCTTCTTGGATTTCCTGGCTGAAGGAGGACTTGGCAATGAGAGTTGGCTTCTTGGATTTCCTGGCAGCATACTCGGCGAGGCGCTGTTCCTTGATTCTAACTGCCTCTGCACACTCGGCCTCGTCATCAGAGCCAAACAGGTCAATGTCATCGTCACTGGTGTTTGTAGAAACTGGGGGAGTAGCTGGGAGGACAAACTGACCA